TCCAAGCACAGCCTGAACATCAACACTATTTCTGCCTTCCCAAGTGATTCCCGTGGGCAGACAGGGTGCCCTCCAGAAGGCAGTCTACTCCCCGTCACGGGAGAGGGGCTCCACCGGACTCGTCTGACCAGGCTGGGCCTTACCCTGCGGTTTACTAGCTGTGAGCCCACAGGCAAAGCACCTAGCAAGGAACTGGTTGTGTTCTGTAGTGTTTTACTATTTAAAAAAGATTTCTCTCTACATTATTGATTCTCCACAACCCTCAGTCTTCTGTTAATCAAATGGGAATAATAATAACTGTTCTGCCAATTTTTTATGAAGTTCAAACAAGGAAGGTTTTAGGAAAGCACATTATAAGATATTAAAATGCTATGCAAAGGTAAGAAATGCTGAGAAAAAACCGCCCCATTCCACTCCCCCAGCGACTTATATTGTTATTCTGGGAAGAAATGCCTTTTCAATGGTAATAAATAAGTTCCCATGGAGAAGACCATTACTGACAAAAGATCCCCAAGCACCAGCTCTCCCCAGAGAGGCCTGATCTCAGCTTCCCCTAATCTTTCTGTGATAGGGCATTGGTGTTTCAGTGGGTACCAGGAATCACCAGCACCCACATCCAGAAGGCATTGGAAAGTACCAGCAGGATGCAGGGGTGGCTCTTTGTGTCTGAGCTCTGCCTCTTCCCTGCTGCTCTGGAGCCTGCTATGACCACCCAGGCCTCAGGTTACCCTACCCCGTTAGCCGGTATAATCATTTCACAACCACAGAGCAGATGCTGATTAGGAAACTCAGGCCCTTGATTAAAACCATTCACCAAGGCTACGTTCCTCCTTGGAATTTATGAGCCCCATAAAAAAAAAGAACTTGGGAAGACAGAGCGGTTGTTTTTTGTTGTGCCTCATTAGTTTTGGGTTTGGGCTGGCAGCAGAGATCAGAGTATTAGGCAGCCATCTAATTGAATCTCTCGCAAGCATAATGCTCTCTGTGGACAGAGGAGGCCATGCCAGGGAGCCTGGAAGTCTCCAGCCGGGGGAAGGAGGTGGGGAGGAGGTGGTACAAGCAGGGCTGAAGGAGTCAGCTTCTCTGGGCTGCAGCTGCACAGCAGAGCCCCTGGGGGTATAAGCTCTGGGGCATCCAGGGACTGAAGGCGGCAACTTCCTGCCCTTCCACACCCACTGTCCCGACTCCTGAGGACACACATCCCCCCTGGGGGACCCACAGACACAGGACAAAGAATAGAGAGCAAGATGCCAAAAAATGTGGGTTTCCACCAATCCCTCAGCAAGCCATGGAACCATTCTGAGCCTTTGTATTGTCAACTATGAAGTGGGTGTAATCATACCTTCCACAGATAGTATATAGTATCAGTCAGATTCCCAAATATTGGGGTGGAGAGGTCTCTGTATAAGATGCAGGTGCAGACTCAGGAAGGTAACACTTGCACCTCCCTCCAAGTCACAGGTGGGTGGGGAAGGCAGGCGTCCAAACAGCCAGTTATAAGGCAAAATGCCCACCACAGTAAATGAAAGAAGAAAACCTAAAACAGAAGCCCAAGTGAAAGTATAGCTCATGGAGGCGGGAGAACAGAAGAATCAGGGAAAACGTCACCGGGGGTCAGTGGGACCTGGACCCTCATCACTGCAAGACGAAGAGTTGGCCGAAGACATTCGCAAAGGAGAGGGCAACCTTAGCAGTGAGAGGACAGCGCAAAGACTAGGAAGGGTGGCCCCCCTGTTACAGTCCCGCAAGGAACAGACTCTCCAAGTGTAAAACAAAAAGAAGAAATCACCAAGGAAAACATGGATAGGTTTCAACTGCATACAAATTTAAAACTCCTATATATCAAGATGCACTATAAACAGAATGAAAAAAAGCATGAAGTACTAGGGAAAACTGTCAGGTGTGTAATAAATATTTTCACATCCTTATTAATAAATATTTCATACAATTCAATGGAAAAACATGAAGAACCTAATAGATAAATTGGCACATGGAAGAGAGCAACTCCCTAAAAGAGTAAAATAAAGCTAGTAACGTGGAAAGAAATATTCAGTCTCACTATCAAAGAAATACAAATAAAAGGCAGGGAACTATCTCTCAGTTAAAAATAGAAATCAAGATAACACTCAGGGTTGGCCAGGATGTAGTAAGAGGGACGTGCATGTATGAACACAGCTGGTGAGAGTGTAAATTGGATTAACTTCCAGAAAGCAATTTGGCAATATGTACCAAGGGCCTTTAAAATGTTTATTCTCTTTGATTCAGTAATTCCACTTCTGGGACTTCATCCTATGAAAATAATCTGAAATGCGGGCAAAGGTTTACATTCAAAGGTATTCTTCAGAGCACTTTTACGAATTGTCCAACAATACTGTTATTGAATAATGTTTAAATAAATGATGATACATGTCACACAGTATGGTGGCCATTAAAAAATATTCTTATGGGGAATTTTTAAAGTCTTGGAAAAGCTTGTGGGATAAACTTAATTATTTAAGACATGTATATGTAAGACACAACTATACATACTTTGAAAGCATGGGCCAAAAAAAAGTAGAGAAACCTACCAGTATGTTAAAAATGATGGCCTCTGGACAGTGGGATTCTGGGCATGGTTTTTGTTTACTTTTACACTGGTTTTAAAATTTATACAACAGGCCTATACTTTCTGAATGAAGGAAAGTAAAGGAAACTGTAAGACATATTCAGCGAATGACAAGTAATTGGTGTGTGAAACGTGCATGTGTTCATGAAAACACACAATGAGAAGCAATCGTAAGGTGCTTCACACCTAATTGTAAGGTGTGAATAAGACACGACACAGCTTACATTCGCTCTGTCAGTTGAAGAAGACATTACAGATTTTGTATTTTGCTTACATTTTCTTTGGTGAGACTGGGAGCAAGAGTAATAAGCTCCTAATATTTAATGATCATGTTTAAGACATAAGAAAAAATGCTTTAGAGACAGCAGTCACCAAGCAAAAGTGAAGAATTTTTCTTCTTATCCTGATTACCTTTGCCGTGAAGGAGGGGCAGAGAGGAGGACAGAAGGTGTCATGGGGCAGGTGGGGCCCACCAGCTGGGGTGGACACACCAGTCTGACCCTCAGGAGCAGCACCCAGCTAGAGGCCACCTGCCTACCACCACCCCTCACCCTTGCTTAACTGGAAACTTCCCCCAGTTAAGCGGATATAACAGCCCCCCTGTCCTGGCGGTTATAGGGTTAGTGAGCTGGCAGGTAAAGGGCCTGGTGCTGTGTTTGGCAAATCACAGTCATGCCATATATGATAACCAGATGTCCTTGCTATGCTCTGATTCCTGGGGCGAAGTCCACAACCATCCCCAGCCGAGCCCCCACCATCAGTGCCTCCTGCTCTGCAGGGGAAGACTGCACCTTCCAGGCATAAGCACCAATTCCTTACAAGCATTTTATTTCCCTACTTCGTAAGTGGGATTCAGACTCAGCCTGTCAAACTGCAAAGCTTCCCTCTCCCACTCAAAGAAGGGATCACTGGAGGTGGCCTTGGGCCCCCTTTCACAGGGGGACTTGGCTGAGGATGTGACTGACAAGCAGAGAATTGACATGCAGAATTAAAGCTATAAAGTAAATTGACATTTTACCTTTGAAAATGAGCACTGTGCCTACTGCTGTCACCCCCTTTGTGTTTTGACCCTGCATGTCACACATATGGACCCAGGAGGAGGGATGGGGCTTCCCTGGTGCACTCCCCTGCACTTGGAACCAGTATGAGATTGGGGAAAACATTGTCTTGGGCTGTCCTGAGACACAGGGATGGACAACGGGAGGCATTTCTCCTGTGTGAAGAAGAGGCAGGGCTGACTAGTCCAGGGAATGCCAGGGATGCAGTCACAAAGCAAGTTAAAGAACCGAGACGTAGATCAGAAGTTGATCTTTCCCGGGCTTTGGATGTCAGGGCCTCAGCTGCCATAGCCGGTGCCGTCAGTGGAAGGCAGGGTGAGGTGGTGTGTTCGTTTCCTGTGGCCGCTGTAACAAACTACCACGACTTAGTGGCTCTACGCACAACAAAATGTACTCTTTGCAGCTCTGAAGGAACTGAGATCAGCTTCAGTTTTGTGTGAAGTCGGTTTCACTGGGCTAAAGTCATGTTGATGGCTGGGTGGCTGCTGGGGGCTCTAAGGGAGAATCCATCTCCTCGCCTTTCCCAGGCTCTGAAGGCCCCTCGCTCCTTAGCTCATGACTCCTTCCTCACATCACTCCACACTCTTGCTTCCATCATCCCCTTGTTAGGGGGTACCAGGCAAAGTCCCCCATTTAGTAGAGCAGACTGGGCCAGGCCAACTGAAGCCTGGCTCTCAGGAGTCAGAGGTTAATTAATCATCATAACCCAGTGTTCTTGATACAGAAACGAATAACTGCCAATACGTTCATCATGAACTGGCCCCTCTCCGCTCTTCCACTGAGTAATATGATTTACATAACAATTTCAGAACTGGAATAGACCTTAGAAATATCATCAAAGTCCCTCTTTTAGTGGACAGGAAATAGGGGACCAGACAGAGGGGGGAAAATAATGGAAAATGCTGCATGTTTCTAGAATCATTCCAATGAAGGAGTCTGGGGTCAAGAGCATGGAGGAGATACATTGGACCAAATATGCCCCAAGCTGTCCTTGAGGGTTGAGCTGTCTGTGTATAGATGAGACCACCTGTGGGCTCTCCACCTGGCATATCGAAGCCGTGGGTTTGAGGACCCCAGAGTGTTGGGGAGTGTGAGCCACCTCTCTATTCTGCTGCTCATCATCACTAGAAAGTGTGATCTACCCCCAGGGGGTTGAGGGGCAGTGTTAGGGCTTTGACTTCCTCTCAACCTCCGCGTGTTGGGCCTGGTGTAGCCAGACGGAGATGCAGGTGTCTCTGTCCGACATCAGGGTGTGAACAGCAGGGCAGAGTGATGCCCTCTCAGCAGCCTCCCCGTGGGGCTGCCCGGACTGACCAGTGTCTCTGTGTGCTTTCCAGGAACATCCCTGGGCTCCAAGATGGCCTTGCAGAGTTCCTTCACTTGCTGGAATGGGACGGCCCTCCAGCTCGGGCAGGCCTGTGACTTCCACTGGGACTGCGCCTGGGGAGAGGACGAGGGCCAGCTGTGCAGTGAGTAGATGGCCCCCCACCCAACCTGAACCCAGCCCACACTGGCCCACGAGCTTGGACAAGCTTCCTCACATCCAGTGTCATTGTGCCCTCTCAGGGAACCTGCCAAAGCTACATGGTCTTCAAAAGACAGAGCTAAGATCTGTGTTCTAGAAACAGCATGTAAGAACCAAATGAGATCTTTTAAGTTATGCCCTCAGCATCTTCATGGCACAGAGAAAATGTGCAGGATAAAGCCCAACTCTGGAATCTGCTATTAGAACCTTCTATGCCCAGATTTCCCTCACTTCCAGCCCCATCTGTCACCACCCCCAGCCTCTCTAAAACCTGCTATCTCCATGTGCCCCGGCTCCAGCCATCTGCAGTCACTCCGTGGCTCCCTCACGCCTCCGTGGCTTTGCTCACCGTAGCCCCTGCCCGGAATGCCCTTTCCCTCCTCAAGGCCCGTCTACTCTTTCAACACTTACCTCAAGAGCCGATTCTTCTGGGGAGCCTCCTCTGACCACCTCCCACAAGAACAGTCAGTTCTTCTTCTAGACCCTCAGCCCCTAATCAGTGTATCCATCCATCCACTGTAACACCCACTGTTTTTTATTAACAGCCTTTTAGACATATCATTCATATACCATACAATTCGCCCATTTGTAGTGTACAGTTCAGTATGTTTAATATAGTTACAGGGTTGCATAACCAACCCCACAATCTAATTTTAGAACATTTGTATCACTTTAAAAAGACACCCCTGGTAATGTCTCCTCATTTCTCTCCAACCCCCTTTCCCAGCATCTCCCACCTACATCTAGCCCTAGGCAACCACCCATCTACTTTCTGTTTCTATAGATTTGTCTATTCTGAACATTTCATATAGATAGAATCATAAATATATGGTCTTTTGTGATTAACTTGTCTCACTTGGCATGTTTTGGGGGGCCTCTTCATGTCATAGCATGTATCAGTACTTCATTCCTTTTTTGCTGCCAAATAATATTTCATTGCACAAATTTATAACATTTTGCTTATACATTCAGCAACTGAAGGGCATTTGGGTTGTTTCCACCTTTTGGCTAGTATGCTGTGAACATAAATGCCATGAACATTTGTGTACAAGTCTCAGTGTGGACAGATGTTTTCATTTTGGGGGCTGTATATCTAGGAGTGGAATTGCTGGGTCGTATGATAACTCCACATTTAACATTTTGAGAGACTTCCAAACTGTTCTGCAAAGTGGCTGCACCATGTTACATTCCCACCAGTAAAATAGAAGGGCTCTAATTTCTCCACATCCTTGTCAACACTCATTATTATCTTTTTATTTTGGTCATCCAGGTGGGCGTGCAACCCTTACATTTCATGGTGGTGGTACCCACGTCTCTCTCCCTCACTGTGGACAGGCTGCTTCTGGTGCTCCTCCCTGTACCAATATCTTAAACAATTCCTGGCCCCATATAGGTGCTCACTGACTTCTTTGTTGATTTAAATGAATAAATGAGTTGGGAAACTTGGGCTTGTTAAAAGAAAAACAGACTGCTGAGGTCTCACTGCTAGTTGGGGGCAGAGTGAGACTCCCGGCCCAGTGCTCACTGCACTTGACTACGGTGTTCTTAGCAGCTGACTGGCTAGGAGTAAACGTTCTAGAGGCTTTTACTTTTTTGCCAGAAAAACCGCACTTACAGACACATAGAATGTGAGCTAGGAATGTACAAGATCCTGGAACAGAGATGAATAACACAGCACCTGTTCTCAATACACCAAAAATCAAACAGAGAGGCAAGGAGTAAGATAACAGAGCTGCAGCTCGGATAGGATGCAGCAGATGCATGCCTGCGTGCCCTGGGCCCAGACACAGGAGCAGATGCCTCTCCCCTCAGATACGCAGGCCCCAAGTCACCAAGGCCTGCAGAACAGCTTTAAAAAGTTAACAGTGTCTCCCAGGTCATCTGGAGGACAGATTTGTCCCTTGGAACAAAAAGATTTTATTGATTCTCTGTTAAATGAAACAGTAAAGAAATACATTTTTTAATTTGAAAAACTTCTTTTTATACAAACTTTTCAGTGCAGTTGGAACTGTGGCTGTTCAGATAAAACTCAGTAAAGAGCTGCAAGTCAGCCCTTTGCTTGTCCTGCTCTGTTCTGTTCCTGGGCTCTCTCACAGAGCTCTCACCATACATGTGGACTGAGATGAAGCCAGCCCACCCATGCTCTCCTGGGGCCCATGTGTCTCTAGTTACTTGTCTCTGCAGTATCTCCAGCAGTGCCTCTGGGCTGTGTGATTTTAGTTTTGCCTTTTTAAAGTGTTTCTGATATCCACTCTCCAGCTGGGACACAGGTCAGGCAGGCCATGCCCTGATTTACAACTGGGAAAATGAAAGCACAGAGAAGGTAATTGATTTTTTCAGGGTCACACAGCATGTCAGGAGCAGAGCCATGATTAGAACATTGAGCCTGCAGGATCCAGTCCATTACCGTGAGCTCAGGGCATTTTCCCACCATTCTAGGGTTTGCCATTAACAGGTTTCCAGGGCCAGCTCCAAGTTGGAAGGCAGCCTGGCTCTGGTATAGAGGACAAGCACCTGGGGCTTAGAGGCCTTTTCAGCCACACTTGAAAAGCTGCTCTGATTAGCTGTCAGAATGACAGCTCCACCCAAGAGAACACCTCCATCGAGCACTTGGCTGCAGAAGTCGGTGGCTAGGAGAAGTTCAATTCAGAAGGAGGGTTATTTCTCTTTTACCCCTTTGATCTTGGCAGCACTCTTAGATCATACAATTCAATGGAAAAACATGAAGAACCTAATAGATAAATTGGCACATGGAAGAGAGCAACTCCCTAAAAGAGTAAAATAAAGCTAGTAACGTGGAAAGAAATATTCAGTCTCACTATCAAAGAAATACAAATAAAAGGCAGGGAACTATCTCTCAGTTAAAAATAGAAATCAAGATAACACTCAGGGTTGGCCAGGATGTAGTAAGAGGGACGTGCATGTATGAACACAGCTGGTGAGAGTGTAAATTGGATTAACTTCCAGAAAGCAATTTGGCAATATGTACCAAGGGCCTTTAAAATGTTTATTCTCTTTGATTCAGTAATTCCACTTCTGGGACTTCATCCTATGAAAATAATCTGAAATGCGGGCAAAGGTTTACATTCAAAGGTATTCTTCAGAGCACTTTTACGAATTGTCCAACAATACTGTTATTGAATAATGTTTAAATAAATGATGATACATGTCACACAGTATGGTGGCCATTAAAAAATATTCTTATGGGGAATTTTTAAAGTCTTGGAAAAGCTTGTGGGATAAACTTAATTATTTAAGACATGTATATGTAAGACACAACTATACATACTTTGAAAGCATGGGCCAAAAAAAAGTAGAGAAACCTACCAGTATGTTAAAAATGATGGCCTCTGGACAGTGGGATTCTGGGCATGGTTTTTGTTTACTTTTACACTGGTTTTAAAATTTATACAACAGGCCTATACTTTCTGAATGAAGGAAAGTAAAGGAAACTGTAAGACATATTCAGCGAATGACAAGTAATTGGTGTGTGAAACGTGCATGTGTTCATGAAAACACACAATGAGAAGCAATCGTAAGGTGCTTCACACCTAATTGTAAGGTGTGAATAAGACACGACACAGCTTACATTCGCTCTGTCAGTTGAAGAAGACATTACAGATTTTGTATTTTGCTTACATTTTCTTTGGTGAGACTGGGAGCAAGAGTAATAAGCTCCTAATATTTAATGATCATGTTTAAGACATAAGAAAAAATGCTTTAGAGACAGCAGTCACCAAGCAAAAGTGAAGAATTTTTCTTCTTATCCTGATTACCTTTGCCGTGAAGGAGGGGCAGAGAGGAGGACAGAAGGTGTCATGGGGCAGGTGGGGCCCACCAGCTGGGGTGGACACACCAGTCTGACCCTCAGGAGCAGCACCCAGCTAGAGGCCACCTGCCTACCACCACCCCTCACCCTTGCTTAACTGGAAACTTCCCCCAGTTAAGCGGATATAACAGCCCCCCTGTCCTGGCGGTTATAGGGTTAGTGAGCTGGCAGGTAAAGGGCCTGGTGCTGTGTTTGGCAAATCACAGTCATGCCATATATGATAACCAGATGTCCTTGCTATGCTCTGATTCCTGGGGCGAAGTCCACAACCATCCCCAGCCGAGCCCCCACCATCAGTGCCTCCTGCTCTGCAGGGGAAGACTGCACCTTCCAGGCATAAGCACCAATTCCTTACAAGCATTTTATTTCCCTACTTCGTAAGTGGGATTCAGACTCAGCCTGTCAAACTGCAAAGCTTCCCTCTCCCACTCAAAGAAGGGATCACTGGAGGTGGCCTTGGGCCCCCTTTCACAGGGGGACTTGGCTGAGGATGTGACTGACAAGCAGAGAATTGACATGCAGAATTAAAGCTATAAAGTAAATTGACATTTTACCTTTGAAAATGAGCACTGTGCCTACTGCTGTCACCCCCTTTGTGTTTTGACCCTGCATGTCACACATATGGACCCAGGAGGAGGGATGGGGCTTCCCTGGTGCACTCCCCTGCACTTGGAACCAGTATGAGATTGGGGAAAACATTGTCTTGGGCTGTCCTGAGACACAGGGATGGACAACGGGAGGCATTTCTCCTGTGTGAAGAAGAGGCAGGGCTGACTAGTCCAGGGAATGCCAGGGATGCAGTCACAAAGCAAGTTAAAGAACCGAGACGTAGATCAGAAGTTGATCTTTCCCGGGCTTTGGATGTCAGGGCCTCAGCTGCCATAGCCGGTGCCGTCAGTGGAAGGCAGGGTGAGGTGGTGTGTTCGTTTCCTGTGGCCGCTGTAACAAACTACCACGACTTAGTGGCTCTACGCACAACAAAATGTACTCTTTGCAGCTCTGAAGGAACTGAGATCAGCTTCAGTTTTGTGTGAAGTCGGTTTCACTGGGCTAAAGTCATGTTGATGGCTGGGTGGCTGCTGGGGGCTCTAAGGGAGAATCCATCTCCTCGCCTT